TGCAAGCCTTGTCCCTCCCACTGCCCTCCCCTGCAGGCCTGGTCACCCCCAACTGTCCTCCTCTGCCGGCCCGGTCACCCCTAACTGCCATCTCTTTCAGGACTGGTCTCTCCCAACTGTCCTCCCCTGCTGGCCTGATCACCCACAACTGCTCTCCCCTGCCGGCCATCTTGTGTTCACATGGGGGTGGCCATTTTGTGTCCATATGGGGGTGGCCATCTTGTGTATTGGAGTGATGGTCAATTTGCATATTTCCTTTTTATTTGATAGGATGCCCATCCCCCTTAGGCAATGTGTCCCATTACTAACTAAGCTGGGACCAGAACTCAGGACTCAATCTTCCTATTTTGTCATGCTGCGTTTCTTCTACTACCTGGTGTTCCACACACATCTGCTATGGGAGATTCAAGAGTGTGGGGGCCTATTCCTTCATGACAGACAGTTCACATTTTAGTTAGGGAATATTAGAGAATGATTAAATACTAGGCTAAGTACTACCAGGAGGTGTAGTAAGGACTCTCAAAAAGGGAAGAAGATTATTGGTTATAAGATATACTATAAAAGCCAAAGATCTTGTGGAAAGGGTGGATCTTGGGTAGTAATTTAGAAAATACTAACTCCAGGGAGAAGTGCTCTGCCTGAACAGAAAAGCAAGGAGACAGGAATGAATACTATGTGGGCAAAGGACAAATGTCTCTCTGTGTAGAGTTCTTTCATACTTGAAACACTATACAAAGGGTAAGAATTGGACCTGGAAATAACTGTCTAATCTTTCCTTGGGTTGAAAATTTGTCTTCAGTTTTGCTTCTATCCACTACAGAATAAATAGGACAATCAGTAATTTAAATTTCAGACCTCTGGGACTTCAAAAGATTTATCACCCTGTGAAATAACCCCACCCTAATCCTTCCCATTACCCTCTTAGGCAGGGCCTTAGACCTGACAACTAATTGGAGACTCATCTAAGTTTTGGAACAAGAGAGGGAGTTGCTGAAAGAAGTGTTTCAGGGAAAGTAGCCCCTTCAGTCATGTGTAAGAAAGATGGAGATGGACGGATTGGGGCTAGGATAAAGGATTAGCTCCAGGGGATTCTTTATTTGGAGATACTCTGGTGAGAAAGGCCTAAGTTAGTATTACTTCATCTGGAACAAGCATTCCGATGGAAGAAAGATAAAATGTGCTAAAAGCTTGACTATCAGGCACCAAAGAAAAATGAAGTGAAGGTGGCTCGAAAGGTCCTAATCATCATCACTGGCCAGTGAGCTCCAAACTTCCTCAAATTAAGCTTAGTCTCACCTTTGGAAGCCTCTGTCTGTTTCAAGCCCCTATCACCAAGTACCTAGATCAGGGGTGGCGAACCTTTTTTCTGTCAAGGGCCATTTGGATATTTATAATATCATTTGCAGGCCATGCAAAATTATCAACTTAAAAATTAGCCTGCTATATTTGGCCAAATATTTAATTAACTCACCCCTAATGCCTAGGTAGGACCAGACCAAATAATTTCAAGGAGCCGGACGTTTCCTACCCTTGATCTAGATCAGTGGTTCTCAACCTTCTTAATGCCGCGACCCTTTAATACAGTTCCTCATGTTGTGGTGACCCCCAACCATAAAATTATTTTTGTTGCTACTTCATAACTGTAATTTTGCTACTGTTATGAATTGTAATATAAATATCTGATATGCTATATGTGTTTTCCAATGGTCGCGACCCACAGGTTGAGAACTGCTGATCTAGATAAAGGCCTTCCTCCCTACTTTCAATTCCTTCCAAATTCAAATAGCTAGCAGAAGCTCTCTCAGACACCACTCTCAGCATGTGTCACAGCCTGCAATGGGTTCCATCAAGGCAAAGCAAACTCCTCCACATGGAAAACAGACCTGCCGCCATCTACAGGATCAACCAATTTCATACTACACTTCCTCTGAACTGTGGTTCAGCCATGCTAACTTTTTGTCTGTTTGTTTTGTGAACATTTTCTTTTCTATTATTCTACCTTCTTCCTGTTCCTTCAACCTGGCATACCTTCCCAAACACATTTTGCCAATCCATGTTAA